GTACCAATGTAATAACTTGGTTAGACTGCACGAATGTACATGCGGCTGGAGTCTAAATTGGTGGCAAAGACTACTTTAGATCCTAGATGGTAGAAACTGTGCAGAAGTTTATTTTTGAAGATGGTAACTAACAGTAATATCCACGTACATAGATAACTCATTTAGCCATTTTGCACGTGTTTACACGTAATTTGTTTAAGTACACCGTGTCATGGGGAGACTTTTCAGCTTGACACCCTCACTTGCTGTTTCAGGTACGTGAAGACATCCGGGTAGAACCACGGACCTTTCGTATGAGAGACGAATGGCTACCACATATGAGCCGCGTCACGACAAAACCAACGTTATGCATTTGCGACCAGCATGGATCCAGACCAGCCTGCGCATCCATGCTGTTCGCTATCAGTTTGTTTCTGTACTTGAAATATGGTTGGTAAGCGAACAGCATGGTTCCTGATCAGACTGCGCGGATACGCAGGCTGGTCTGGATCCATGCTGGTCGCAAACGCATTACGTTGGGTTTGTCGTGACGCGGCTCATATGAACACAAAGTTATTGGAGAGATCAGTGCCAAAGAGCCGGAGGGCCAGTTATCCAATAACAGCTACAATTATCACTTGGTCATGGAACAGTCATAAAGGAGTATGAAACAGATACACATAGATGGATAGACGTACAATTTTATTTGAAATTAAGAACATAATAACATAAAATGCATATTAATAAGCAAGGTAGCACAATATGTACAGTGTACATAATTATATCTTTATATATTTGTACATATACAAAGTCCAATTTAATAATTATCATGCTTAATTGATATAACTGTCATAGTGAACAATCACATGTTATTAATGAAGAAAATACAATTAAACAAATAAACCTCATGAAGGTATTAAATGTAAAAAGCAATACTTTAATATATAGCAGAGATTAACATACATGTATTGAATATTACATGGCAAAAAAACATAAATTTATGAAATCAGTCATTGATTTTGAGCACATTGTAAGCACCTAACAGTGGTATTAAAACAAGTTAAGATCGATTGTGTAGAAAGCTATCAAGCTTATAGACACACCTTGGTATTGTTCCTGGAACCAACCATTACTGAACAATAGCAGTCAAGATTTTTTATCAAGTACTTTAACAAGTTGTGTTTCTTGTTGCATGATACAATAACATATTTCCATATAACATATGGCAAATACAAAAATGACATGAATTATTGACCTTACAGAAAGCAAGTTAGCATATTATATAAGTGTGAAGCTTCCTGCATTGAGCCTGAACCCACCACCTAAGGCTAACAATCCTTACATTACTACTGAAACCCTCATGTAAGCAATCCTTAGATAACTAGTGAAATTCTTATATAACTAGATCAATCATTTTATTAGCAATCCTTTAATTACTAGACTTAGTGAAATATTTATATAACTACTGCAATCAATATATCAGGAATTCTTAAATGAATAGTGCAATCCTTAGATTACTGCCACAATCCTTAGATTACTTTTGCTATCCTTAGATTACTACTGCAATCCTTAGATTACTAGTGCAATCCATATATCAGCAATCCTTAGATAAGTAATGAAAAAGTAAGATAAATATTCTTTAGATTACCAGTGCAATTTTCACATTACTAGTTCAATAATTATTATTAGTAATCCTTATATAACTAGTGCTTACATAACTAATGAACTCATATATCAGCAATCCTTAGATAACTATTGCAATCCTAAGAACACTAGTGCAATCCTTAGATTACTAATGGAATCCATAGATTACTGTTACAATCCTTAGATTACTATTGCAATCCATAGATAACTTCTGCAATCCTTAGATTACTATTGCAATCCTTAGATTACTTCAGCAATCCTTTGATTACTATTGCAATCTGTAGATTTCTATTAAATTCCTTAGATTACTATTGCAATCCGTAGATTACTATAACTAAAGCCTTAGATTACTATTGAAATCCTTAGATTACTTCTGCAATCCTTAGATTACTACTGCAATCTTTAAATTACTAGTGCACTCCATAGAGCATCAATTCCTAAATTACTTCTGGAATCCTTAGATTACTGTTGCAATCCTTAGATTACTGTTGCAATCCTTAGATTACTACTGCAATCCTTAAAGTTCTTCTGCAATCCTTAGATTACTGTTGCAATCTTTAGATTACTATTGCAATCCTTAGATTACTATTGCAATCCTTACATTTCTACTGCAATCCTTACATTACTTTTGCAATCCTTAGTTTTCTACTGCAATCCTTGAATTACTACTGTAATCTTTAGATTACTAGCAAGTCCAGCATGTTAACAACTTGGCCACATCTCTACTTGAAGTATGTGGTCTTATTTATCATTATAAACTATTCCATGAGGATGTAGATGGTATATAAAATAATGGAATAGATACATGTCCTGGGGAGGGACATAGTGAAATGATACTGCATAGTCACTCATTGATTCTTCTCCCTGTAAGATTTAAAACAAAACATCAAGATTTACATGTACATGTATGTTAATGATATACATGTATAATAATTTTATATTTAAGAGCTGATCCATAGAAAGAGAAAAATATGTGATGTTAAAATAATCATATTTATATGAGATAAGTGAAAAAATATCTTAATATAAAGAATAGTTTGTTCTTAGGAAATTTGTATAACCATTACCCTGCCAAAGATATTGTTATAGATATCTGGATATCTTAAAAACAAACAGTGTAGGCCGTGATCAGACTGACAAAAAAAAAGCAGGCTGATCTTGGTTGGCTCTGGTCACGTGATTAGAGTCGTTTGCTGCCAGAAGGCTACAGGTCGTGATATTCTTTTTAATGATTATATTCATTCCAAGAAAACTGCTGTTTTTCATAATCTAATTTCATTTTTAAAGAAAGTATATCTAATGCATGTATAATTATGAAATCTGGAATACAATCACCTTTTGTAATGTAGGTAATGAAAATTCATAAAATAGTAATTATTATGGTTCAGGTATAGTTCTGGGACTCACCATTTTAGCTCCATTAGCGTCATATGGTTTATACCACGACGGGTACTGGCCAATCACGTGTGCTTCTGGATGAAAACAGTGAAATCTACTTCGACCATGCTTATCAGTTGAATTCCCAAGGCGAACACCAATGCTTTGCATGCAAGCACCGAAATCAACATCTTCGGCTGCATAACTTGTATTGCACAATTTAGGATCTTGGCCATATTTACCGTACAAACTTAACGCTTCTTTACTTAATACATAACCCGCACCTCCGCTTGTAAAACCTTGTTTTAATATGGTTTTGAAACGGTGGCCAAAGAAGACTGGTGTGTTTGGGTCTTTGTCCGATAAAAAGTATCTAAGATTTTCTAAAATTACGAAAGTATCATCGTCTGCTTTTAAAAACCACTCGGCGTCGTTGAAATGATTATGAAATATGTAAGTTAATGCGTGCAATGTTTTTCCACTTAATTTTAGATAGCCTTCTTCTGTGTCGAGTCCTATTGCCGGAAATGTATCGTCTGTTTTAGAACTGAAGAATAAAAGTTTGTTGCACTTATGTCCCCATGTTCGTCTAACATGTTCAGCCTTCAGTGTCAAGCTTTCATGCGTTGTAAGTACAAAACAAAGCACACGGATCTTTCGATGCAGTCCTGTAAAGTTAGCGTTTGTTTCTGAAAAAAAGAAACAATGAGACTTACATAGCAAACGACAAACGTACACACAGCAGACGGCAATCGTACAAGATGATAAAATAATAAGAAAACAATGTTTTGCCTTGTTTATGTGTCTGAACTTTGAAAACAAACTTAAAAGTAATTTCAAAATACATGTACAATACAATACTTGCTGTAGACAAATTATCGGTTGCAATATAAATCCAAAAGATATTAATGTCAAATCATTTAATGCTTTCAAAATATCCAGGCCTGACCTGCTGACTGTATAATGGACTTTCCTTGTCTAAAATATGGAACAGTCCATTCAAATTTTAAGGGATTTCAATATCAAAATACAAATAAATACAGTTTCCAACAGTATACAGCCTGGTCGGACGGATGTCCCTACTGATGGCAAAGGCTAACCACTTCCGGTTCTAGAAGGTTAAAGGTTAGCTGTCACGTGATTGTTTAACTGAAGTAAACCTACCTCTGATATAACTATTATTAGATGTCGCTCTTTGCTTCATCAGTGTATTAGCTCGAGGAATTGGTCCAATGTGCTTCTCTAGCATTGTTTCAAGACTAAACGTAGGTATTTCATCTAGTGAGAAAAAACACAAAGCGTGCATATATATACATCCATTTCTAACATATTAGGTATACACTGTAAAAATTTCACAAATGAAGATAAGAGATGACTTTAAATCCTATTTTTTATTTTACTCGTGCTTACGGGTAATTATGTAAACACTTAAATAAAATGAAATAAAAAATGTAAATTTTAATTAACATAGTTACGATGTGTGTTTCATATAAAGGTTTTGTACAAAATCAATGAAATTTGAAAATAATGTTTAGTAAGGATATATCAACCAGGTCTACATTGTTATCATAAAACAAGTAACGACAACTCTATATAGGTTAACAATTTGGAGATGCAAAGCGATCATCATAGTTCAAAGCATTAACCCTTAATCTCCTTAATTTGTGTAATGAAATTGGTCTATTTTTTTTAATTTTGAACATGTTCAGACATTAAATCTTTTGGGCATTTCAGAAAGGCTACCAACAGTATAGAGCCTGGTCAGACTATACGGATGGGTAGGCTGGTCTGGCTCTATACTTTTCAGTTTTGATTCCTGCAGGTTAAATGTTAAAGTTAAATAAAAGATTGGTTAGGTTGATAAACTTACCATTCCTTCTGATGTTAGTTAAATGGTTGTACATAAGAAAACATATGCAAATCGCAGCAAGTAGTATTAACAGTCGTGGTGACGTCATTCTAAAATTTACAGAAAAACGTGCAATAACAACTTTATATACATAATTATATATTTTTAGTTATTTAATTCATATGAATTTATTAATAACGTTGTTAGAAAAATATGAAATCTTATTAATACTTATACTTAATGAATAAAATTTACATGCTCTAGATACTGTATTACTGTACAGTTAATGTGTTCTGGGAAGACGAATATTCATTAGTCTGTAATGTATACGGAATGTGATACGGGACCAATACGGAATATAAACATGTTAAGACGCGAATAATAAAGAGATATCATAAATTATAATTATCATAGAACAAACACTGGGACCACGGACTGTAATTACAAACCGTGCCGGAACAAACAAAACGTAAATTTTAAATAAATAACAATATACTTACTGACATATTCGTGATTTGTCGCCAATAACTCTGAACAGAAACGTCTTCATTTTTATCTTAAACATCCTTCCTTTTCTCCACTGCCATGCCATCTATGTCAGAAACATTTCGTTTTTGTGACATTACAAATAAAAATATTATCTAATAACATTCACACAGCGATACACGAACGCTTCAACGTCACGAAAATATGTTTTATATGTGTTATTAACACCGTTAGACACCATTTATGGATCGATATTTAAGTCCTAATTTTACAAACCAATATGTTCATATTGTGTTTATTGAACGTATCGGTTACTATGTTACTATAAATAGCAGAATACACACTGCGCAGCGTGTGTAAAATAGTATGTAGATTTACTAATAATTTTACCCGTTTACGGTTTACTGTCCATATTTAAACTTATTTAAACTATTTCTCTAGCATTTATATTTTAATACACAACATATTTATTCATTTATTGACAACATTCAACCTGTTGTTTTTATTGATCCATACATTTATAATGATATTGAATCAGTGCTTAGTGCCATATCATTAATTTTATTTCGTTTGGGAAATGCTGTGGTTAGATAAATCTTCTTCATTAGCTATATTATATGGTGGCATATTTCTGCCACCAGATAACCTGATAACAAACTAGTTAATTAAGAGGTTAACTAGTTACGTAACTAGTTAACCTGATAATTAAGTAGTTAATTAAGAGGTTAACTAGTTACGTAACTAGTTAATTTTTTCAATAAAGAAAAGATCATAACGGGAAATAAATGCATGTTAGTGCCTGCAACTGCCATCCTTTTATTATATCATCATCTTAAAATTAAGAGGTTAACTAGTTACGTAACTAGTTAACCTCTTAATTAACTAGTTAATTATCAGGTTAACTAGTTACGCAAATACCTAACTAGTTAACCTGATAAATAACTAGTTAATTAAGAGGTTAACTAGTTACATAAAAACGTAACTAGTTAACCTGATAAATAACTAGTTAGTTAAGAGGTTAACTAGTTACGCAAATACCTAACTAGTTAACCTGATAAATAACTAGTTAATTAAGAGGTTAACTAGTTACGTTTTTACGTAACTAGTTAACCTCTTAACTAACTAGTTATTTATCAGGTTAACTAGTTACGTAACTAGTTAACCTGATAATTAACTAGTTAAGTATTAGGTTAACTAGTTAGGTATTTTCGTAACTAGTTAACCTGATAATTAACTAGTTAATTAAGAGGTTAACTAGTTAAGTATTTATTTAACTAGTTAACCTATTAATTAACTAGTTAATTATCAGGTTAACTAGTTACGTAACTAGTTAACCTCTTAATATTAAGCTGACAATAAGGGATGGCAGTTTGCAGGCACTAACATGCATTTTTTCCCGTTATGATCTTTTCTTTATTGAAAAAATTAACTAGTTACGTAACTAGTTAACCTGATAATTAACTAGTTAATTAAGAGGTTAACTAGTTACGTAACTAGTTAACCTCTTAATTAACTAGTTAATTATCAGTAACCTGATAATTAACTAGTTAATTAAGAGGTTAACTAGTTACGTAACTAGTTAACCTCTTAATTAACTAGTTAATTATCAGGTTATCTGGTGGCAGAAATATGCCACCATAATATTACTTTTAACAAACAAACAAAAATGAAATAAAAAAAGTAAAATAAAAAGAAATATAGAGCTAGCATGTCGGGTAGATCTAGAGCTAGGCCTACTGTATGTCAAAGTAAAGCAAATTAGGATCTATATCTAAATTGGATTTATTTTTATGAATTTTAATTTAAGATTTATAAATAAAACGGTGTACCTATAGTCAATTCAGGTAAATAATGTAATTTAATAAAAAATCTACAAATGTAGCCCAAGAATGCAATAATCTTGAGTACATTTTAATGTGATAAGAAAATAGATCTATGACAAATTGATAAAAAATGTTTCTTAAATTTATATATTTTTATATATTATAAAGCAAGCAACACATTAAGTTTTTTTACATTATTTTTCGTATTATTATTAAGAATGAAATCTTCTGCCAAAATGGCAAACTTCTAAATAATTTGCAATCATTATACATATACGTACATGTACATTTTATATATTAGGCCGAGTTATATAGATCTTTTTTAACGGTGAACCATTTATTTTTCTGTATGTTCTTGTTTGTAGAAAAAACAACAACAAATTTTGTGTAAAGTTTGAATATCTAACTAGAGCTATAACCATTATATATAACATTGGGGTAATTTTTACCGAAATATGAAGAAATAAAAGAAAACAAATAAAAACAAAAACATTTACCGCTATATAGATCTAAATGATGACTTTCTTTTGCCTTTTTTTTGCTTTTTTTAATGGCCGACAAAATTGAAAGTCTATATCTGGCCTGTTATATCTGCTTCTTATTGAATAAATTTTGATATATTTGTGACATATATAACAGGGAATGAGTGAAAGTTACAGGTTGGTATCAATTAGTTTATGATAAGTTCGATCTCTGTTTTACCGAAAGTACTGGATGGTGAGTAATAGAGTGCACCCGTAACAGTAACGAGGGGCACATGGGGCAATCGGTCGACATTCGGCTACTTATAGGCCTATTTACTGTTAACCTATCGATCAAGGAGGTGTTTCTACATGTCCTAGATTCTACTTTAAAATAATTTTAATGAGAATAAAAAACACCTTACTAACATGTGTAAATTTTGTATCATATAAGAAACTTATAATAAGAAAGGTATCATATGAAAAAATATATAAAATTACAAGATAAACTAACCTGTTACTAATATAACCTCTATTTAAAACATAAAATCCAGTATATTTAACACGAGACTTTCCTTCAAGTATTTTATGTAAATGTAAACACGGGGGCCATTCTATATATTCTATACTAGTACACACTTGTATAGGGCTGTCTGACAATAAACCCGTTATGGGTGAAAAGAATTCTGCAGTCTCTATAGTCAATACTATATATAATGGCATGTAAATTATTGAAAAATGCACTCTTATTTCAAACACTAAGCCGTTTAAAGTGTAAATGTATGTGTATTTAAAAGACTATGTTGTTTTTGTTGTAGTTGTTGTTGTTTTTTGTTCAAGGTATGCGTCTTTTCATTAATACCAATGTCTCTTGATTCTTTAGCTAACTGTTCACGCGTTTATTTTGTGAACCTTTTGAACTTGCGGGGCGCTCTAACCGTCCATATTCGACCATTGTCAATAAAAAAGATGTGTTTCAGATGAGGATACACGCATTCACACAAATTCTAGTTCATACAACTTCACCAACTAAACCTGGTGGCAGCAACTGTGTCTAACAATGCGACCAGTGCGGACCAAGATCATAGCTTGCACTGTCCGCTTTTTCAGTACGTAAAATCATGTATTTTGGCATTTTCGTAAAATGACAAAATTTAGGTGTTGAAATTCTTACTGAATATGACTGTTTAAATAAGAGAATGTACAAAATATATATGGGGTTCATTCAAGTGAAGTTGGTCCTTTTTATGTAAAAAACTTAAGTTTTTAAAATGATACTAGATCTATGTATTCATATTGTGGCCTCCTATATTGTTTAAAGTTTAAAACTTGACATATCTACTTTGTGAGAAGTCGAAACATGTTGATTTTATAGACTTAGTGTAGCAATTTCAATATTTTCAGGTATCAAATTTGAGTATGATATATCTTCTGACTATAATGGTTCTACTCACAGGATGCATTCAAACAAAATTTACATGTGCATTGAGGGATATGTTATATATAAAGGGTATTTATGGGCAAGTTTTTCAAATTAAAATTTTATAAAATAAGAATAGAGAATAAAAGGGATTTTGTTTGTTTTGGGTGATGATTTGTCACAGTTTACGAAATTCTAGTTTCATAAAATAATTGAAGTTGTACCGGTATTTAATTTGCTTGGTCATAAATTCAGTCCCATAAACTGTTTCCTCTTTAACTTTACATCAGCTATCCAATGTGATCAATTTGTTTACAATAAATCATCTTCATCATGACTGTACATACACAAAGGTACGTCCATCGTCTGCTGACATTGATACTATGGCAGAAGTAAAACTGTACACCGTCAGTTAAAACTAAAGATCGATTTTTATGTACATGTATAAATTAATTTATCTTTATTATGTGATTTCATGGGAAAACCCGATATTCAATCATTTGATGGATACATTATTATGTCCTTATTATCCTAGAATGACAAATAATTGTAAAATAATAAATCGCTTTTGATGTGTCCGTCTAGTATTGTGCTTATATAAGTATTACAACTGGTCCATCTGTTATCCCTGTAGGGAACCATTAAAAAGCAGCCATTAATATATTTAAAAAAATGCAGATACTTGTTGTTTTACCTAGTATTTAAGACATGTTTAGTTGCGTTTTGCGTCAAAACGACACAATCAAGTTCCTACTGTGACTTTTATGACGAGGAAAAGTCCATCTGAGTGAGTGAGTGAGTGAGTGAATGAGTGAGTGAGTGGGTTGGTGAGTGAGTGAGTGAATGAATAAATGAATGAATGAGTGAGTGAGTGAGTGAGTGAGTGAGTGAGTGAGTGAGTGAGTGAATCAGTGAATCAGTGAGTGAGGTGGTGAGTGAGTGAGTGAGTTGGTGAGTGAGTGAGGTAGTGAGTGAGTGAGTGAGTGAGTGTGAGTGAGTGAGTGAATGAGTGAGTGAGTGAATGAGTAAGTTGGTGAGTGAGTGAGTGAGTGAGTGTGTGTGAGTGCGTGAGTGAGTGAGTGAGTGAGTGAGTGAGTGAGTGAGTGAGTGAGTGAGTGAGTGAGTGAGTGAGTGAGTGAGTGAGTGAGTGAGTGAGTGAGTGAGTGAGTGAGTGAGTGAGTGAGTGAGTGAGTGAGTGAGTGAGTGAGTGAGTGAGTGAGTGAGTGAGTGAGTGAGTGAGTGAGTGACATTTTGAGCATATCTGCGTGCTTTATTAGTGAGCGAGTGACCTCATAAGCATTCATTCGTTCTATTTCGAACAATGAGTATGGGCCACGGTCATGTCAATATTTATGACCTGAAAGATAAAGCTAGATGACAGAGTACTCGAACTTTGTCTCAAGAGTTTAAGTCATAAAACATGAAATCCTTAATATAAATATATAATACAAATATAAATATATTTCTGTATTAATATCAACAAAAGCATCACTCAAATGTTCAATCTTTTTTGCAGCACATAATATGCGTATGACCATGTCAATAAAAGTTAAACAGACATTTTATGCTCTTATGGAAAAGAAAACAATTTTGGAATCTGAAGTCAATCCCTTCAGTATCAAAAATAATAAGAGAAAAAAGTATATAAAGTTTTTTTTAAAGTAAAATTAAAAGTTCAAAGAGGAAATAACTTTTGAAATGAAGATGCTAGAGTTATGAACCTTGTCATGCAAGATGTGAGTAATGACAAAGAACAATTATCCTAAGTCTAGTGTAGATAC